TTTATGTGATTGCTCTGGTCGGAATTCCGCTTTTTATTACAATTGCATCTCGTCCCGATAAACGGCTACAATGTTGCCGGTCCTTACGGACAACTGTATACCCGTTTAATATACGAGTGTGCTTTGCACCCAGGTTTGTTTCCTGGAGGCAAAATGATATCGGGGAAAACTTGTTAAAGTTGTCTTTAATGTCACCTAAGCTTTGAAGTAGGCCTCTGATTTTCCAGCAAATAATAAAAGACATGATTGAAATATAAGGAAGCAAATGTACTAATAAAGTGAATTGATTGTTAAAATTATGGTAGGTGACATATGATAAAAACTGGGTTCATGCGGAGCAATAACCACTTAGGTTATCGCTTGGGTTGCAGCGTTACTGGGTTCTTGTCCCGCTTGGCGCGCTCGAGAGAGTGCTGGTCTTCGGTGTCGACGACCCCGAGCTTTTAGGGTCGACCTCAATCGCCTTGTCAGAGGCACTGGTGTATCGGGAGACAGGCACTGAGACGTGCGTCTCGGGCATTGGTGGGGGGCTGAGTCGCGGGCCCTGCGCAATCGAAGCAAGTAGGGCCGCCTTGGATGTTGATGGTGGAGCAGTACTGGCTGCTACCACCAAGGGGGCAGGTGGAGCTCCTACGGGACCACTGGCCACGATCCCCGTAGGCTTCTGAGGTTGTTGTAGATATTGCGGAAAAGCCTGGCATAGCTTTTCTGAGTGAAGAGTTCGAGCCTCTTTCTCGCTTCGAAGGTTAGTATTTCCTTGGCTGTTAGAGCAACTATTTCTTTTTCTTTTTTTTTTGTAGCAAGGACACGATCTGGAATAGGCTGGGTTGTCGCCTTTGCAGTTCACACAGCGGGTAGACTGCTGACATTTCTCTGATTTGTGATCGTTGGCGCTGCAGTTGCTACAGGTTTTTTTTTTACTTCTACAACATTGCGAAGCATGGCCGAACCTCTGGCACTTGAAGCATCGCCTCGGATTCGGTATGTGTGGTCTGACATTTATTTTCAGGTATGCTGCTTCGAGGGAGCTAGGAAGTGTCTTTGTGCCAAAAGTCAAGATTATGTGTTTTCTCGGGAGTTGTTCGTTTTTTCATCTCATAGTTATTCGTATTACCTTTATTACATTTCGATCTTGAATACCATCGAGGAGCTCCTCGTCGCTCAGGTTCAGGAAACCTACTTCGGAGATAACATACCTACATGGGTTCAGAGATCGGTGGGCTGTGATTGTGATATCCATGTTTCCGACACTGTCTATGTCATAGAGTTTTGTTACTTGTTTTACTTGTTCTTTCCTTTTTTCTATTAGGAGGTCTACGGTGTTAGTTTTTGGTGCTTTGTATTTCTTTCCTATTGCTTCGGTTAGGGATTTTGCCACCAAGAAAGGGTACAGTTTGCGCAGAGTTGTACTACCTTCGCTATGCAAAACATGGAAACGGGGGAAGTTGTTTAGGTTGGTTTCATGGTTGAATTGAGATGGAAATTGGGTGCGACCCCTTTTTAGAGGTTGATCCGGGAGTTTGGGGAACGCTTCCACCACAACATAGTTGGGATAGTTCGCCAACAGCGCCGACCGCCCACCACAGAGACCTACAAGGGGAAGCGGCAGACCTTCATAAAAGAGTCTGCACGAGGCCAGTCGTACGCCGTCGCTACAACATAATATGGTATACCAAGGTTGGATGACCACACACGGTTAAGCCTTGCCGGCAGGAAAATTAGAAGTGACTAGAAGAGAGGAGAAGACAGGAAAGATGTAAAGTTAGAGGGAAAGACGAAGGTGTAGGTAGAGAGATAGGAAAAGGCGACTGCCAAATCCCCTGGGTGTGTAAGCCCAGGGGTGACGTCTACGTGAAGCCGGGGCCAAAGAGTTGCGTTGCCTCTGTGGGGGGGGGGGGGCGGGGGGGGGCTAAAGGTCCTATCTTTGGACATGGCAAAGCCACGCACGGCTAGGCTTGGAAGGGAGTCGAAGCTCCCGTTAGCTCGGGTCCGTGGTGGCGCTACACACCAAACGCCTGCTTGCGCAGATGCCCCTGTGGGGTTCTAGATTTTTGTCTTCTACAACCTCGCCCTCATTATCCTCATGACTCGCATTTTGTCCTAGGGCTGTCTGTTCGCCGTCTTCGTTTTTCTTTCCCTCTTCGCCACCTTTTCCTGATGTTTCTTTCACCGTTCCGGGTTTTTCATTCACTCTCTCCGTCTGGCTGTCTTTTCTCGCAGCAACGTGTTGGGAGTTAATCTGCCTTTCCCTGCTTCCAGCTTCAGCTGTGCCCTTGTCTTCCGGCTTTATTTCACCTCTGGCAGACGTCTTGGGTTTCAGTTCTTCGGGTTCCTTAGTTCTAGGCGTTCTCGTAGTTTCCTTCACTCTTTCTGCCACGCTGTCATTTCTCGCAGAACCGTGTTGGGAGTTCGTCTGCTTTTCTTTGTCACGATCCTCGGTTTCATCCTTTTCTTTTGGTTTTCCTTCACCCTCAGCTACAGCTTCGCCCTTGTCGTTTGGCTTCCTCTTGCTGCGGCAGACATCTTCGGCTTCACATCTTCGCCCTCCTTTGTTGTCAGTGCTTTACAGTCGGCGGAACTCTCAGCGTGCGACAGGGCTTGTTTGAAAAGTGGGTCTACATGCATTTTGCGGGGCGCAACTGGCGCGACTTCTGGTTCCTGTAGACACTGGGCGTTCCCTGCTCCAGCCGCGACGCTTCTGGGTAAGAGTAGATGATGGCCTGTCGCGTAAACTCGGGAGCCAAGGTGGACGAAGGTACGACAGAAACGTACCTCAATATCCTTCTACGATGTGATTTGGGAGCTCCTCAAATGGCACCAGTCATTGGCAGCTCCAACCAGTCGGGCCTTGGCAATTTCCAGCGTGTAGGCAGCTGACTACGTATGTAGTTTAGACGTTCTACGAACGATTTCAAGCCACTTGCACGTTGAGGAAGCATCTTCGGAGCCGTAAAAGGGGCTGATGTTGCGGCTAAAGTGAGTGATCACCTGGAACGTTGACGCTGGTTGAAGCTGTGCTGCACCGGCCAAAATCAGTCGTTTCAGAAGGGTCGATAGTAGACGGTCTTTTTCTTGGATAGCTTTGAGTAAGTCGCGAGCCTTCACGGTGTCGACATTGCCAAAGTTTGTACCTTCTCCACCGCAAGTTGGCTTGTCTCTTCCGTCGGTGCGTTACATCTCAGAGTTAGAGTTACGTTAACCAGCTACGTAGACTGATGGAACTCACATTTTATCTATGTGGTGTTTGATCGCGATCCCATTTCTGAAATTTTTACTTCGACCTCGTAATAAAAAGAATAGTTTACCAACACATAATAAAACACACGCTATACTCAAACGCCACACAGGCTACTAAACGCCACACAGGACATACCGCACGAGAGTCTCTAACGTCATCGTTTTCCTTCTCTATGTACAAAAGGCACGTGAATTTCGTACATCCAGCATTTCATAGACAGGTCGCTGCGGCTGAATACCCGTGCGCCGCTTTAAAATTCAGTTGTTTCAACAGTTCTTTTTCTAAGAAATGAAGTTTCCACATTCGTAATCTTCCGATATTTTTTGCACCTGCATGGCACACACAGACAAACGCCCACACGAATGTGCATAAACTGTCATTGAGCACTGCCCTCCGACCTCCAAACAATTTTTGGCTATGGCCTTAGTAGCCAACGAGAGACAAATGCACTCCTTGCGATAGACTCACGTCGAACCTCTTCGAGAACGTACGCTTTCTTCATGTTAATCAGGCTAACGTCCAAGAAGCCGCAATATCTGATGCACATTTACAAAAAAGAAACTGCTAGATAAGCCGGACGTTTTTCCGAGAAAGTTCAGGAGACGTCAGACGTCATCTGCGCGCTCTTTATCGCGCGCAGATGGTAGTCAATTATCTCTAGAGAACCTATTTTTCTTTCTGAGGTTTTGTTTTTCTCGGAAGAAGAACCTCTACAAAATAAAGGACAAGACAGAAGTGTGTACTACATCTTTTCCCAAAGTTCTGAACCTTTAAAAAAGGCGTTTATGCAATATCTTATTTCCTGGAAGGGGGATAGGTAGTGCAATACACACCCACAGACACACACAATATATATATATATATATATATATATATATATATATATATATATATATATAGGAACAGTTACTGGTGTGGATGGTGTGGATAAAGCAAAGATAATGAAGGTTTGATCGAGCACCGTAACTTTAAAAGACGGGTGAAAGCTTCTTCGATGCCGAAACAAGCAATAAACGTTGGTAATCTGTAAAGCTACCAAACACAATGTAAGTTTCAACTTAATAAGAACGCTCACGTCTTGGCCCTATACAGTTTATCTCATTTATTATAGTTATATTAACATCTGGGGTTTTACGTCAAAAAACCACGATATGATTATGAGAGACGCCGTAGTAGAGGGCCATGTCGATTTCAATCTTCTGGTGTTTTTTAAAGTGCACTGACATTGCACAGAACTCGGGCCTCTACCATTTCTCCACGACCCGCCACGGTGGTTTAGTGGCTAAGGTACTCGGCTGCTGACCCGCTGGTCGCGGGATCAAATCCCGGATGCGGCCGCCGCATTTTCGATACAGGCGAAAAGGCTGTAGGCCCGTGCGAGCTCGGATTCGGGTGCACGTTAAAGAACCCCAGGTGGTCTGAATTTCCGGAGCCATCCACTACGGCGTCTCTCATAATCATATGGTGGTTTCGGAACCTTAAACTCCCGATATAAATAAATCAATTCGCCTCCATCGAAGTGCGGCCGCCACGGCCGGGGTCAAACTCGTGACCTTTGGGTCCACAGCCGCGCACCGTAGCCACTATTCCTTCAAGACGGAAAGTTTATCGTATTTATTAGCGGCGATCTGATCGCTATCCTTCCAACGGATGCGAAGGTCGCGCATATTACAAGTGGCGACGCTGCCTATGCGCAAATAATGTTGCACAAGGACCCCGTACACACAGTTGTTATTCTAATCGATAACTTCCGATAACTCACCCTGGTGGAAGAACGGTAGCAAATGCACGATAAAAAGCAGCGTGGCTGGAGTTGACGGGCTCATCGCTACGAGAACAAGGAATATTACAAGTGCAGTCGAACAGCGAATACGGGCCGCTGTCCAGGCAACTTCAACAGCGCTTATCACAGCGATAACGCTTGCGGTGACGTCGTGGAGCGATGATAAGAGTGACGGTGTATATAAAGACGGTCAGAATTCACTCGCACTGGAAAGCAAACACAGCGGGCTCTTCCGCCGTTAATGTGGGTATGCTCGATGACTTTGTCAATTCGCTTATCGTGCAGTGAAGCGCCCTGTCACTTTGGCAACGCCGAAGGAATGTCGTTTTCAACGTAAGACACAGATACTGGCGTCGTTTTATGTTATAGGCCAAATACCTCCATAGGACGACGCGACAATGGCACCTATTTCGTGCGCATGCCAAAAGAAAAAGGTTGCGAAGCGTTCTCAAAAAGGAACGCCGGTAAGATCTCTTCTGTAGACATAATGTGTGACTGTACAAAGGACAAAGGCGGCAGTATAGATATCGAAGCATGGACATTGAACTTTGGCGCTTATCTGCTGAACGGTCAAAGAGAGACAGGAATGTGAAACTGTCCTCCGAGGAACCTAAACAATGGAAAAAAGTCATAGTTTGCCGCAAGGGCGAAGCAATGCCTTCGATCGGCAAACACTTTTAGCGTTCTACAAAGCATAACTCATCAAAACTCTGGTGTTAGAAAGTTCGGAGCTTGTTTGCAAGCGCAGTGGAGCAAACAAAAAAAGAAGATAAAGGTAAGGAAGACGGGCATCGGATGCGCTTGTGGTATACCCCCTAACCAGCTCATGGTTCTGCATTGAATATTGACAAAACACGACTGCTTCAGCGAGCAAATAGAGAGCTCTCCCATCTGTTCGCACTAAAAACACAATCCGTTGGGCGCTGCGAAGACAGGCAACACCAGTAAAGTTTGCATATTCAGGTACGTCACTTACACTATAGCGGCACGTAACAGAACATTGCGTGGTCTTCTTTTGTGTTTTTTTCACCAAGCCCTGGAGACACCATCCACCAGCCGCAAAAAAACGTAAGAGCCGCAGACATCATCTTTGGGTAAGGAGGTCCACGCCCGAACTGTTGCTACTGAAAACACTGTTTCCCCGACTGCAGTGTGAAAACACGCTTCTTTGTCGAAGGAGAGAGTGTACTTGCTGCCGAGTACCCCAGTTTTGTTTGTCGCGAAGAGCAAGGTCGACGACAAAATGAATCGTGTTGCAACGTTCGTGCTAACATCTGGCTTGAAGTTGGACGCACGAACAAGCCCAGTGCGGCAGCAGAGTGCTTTTGGTGTGCCATTGATCTCCGATGGCCAATTCTTCTGCACTTTCGGCGTTTTAGCAAAACAATAATCCATACTAATTGTTGATGATATATGGAGACAGAAGGTGTCAGCAATGGCTGCGATGACTGGCTGTATAAAGGCCTGAAACTCCTCGCGCTAACGGCGGGTAAAACATAAAGGTATCAAAATCATGAGAGTGACATAAAATCTGTAAAGTGAATATACGCGGCTAACAGTTATGATAATGACTACATAGAGTGGTGACGAATATCTCTCTATGCCCTTATCTCCAGGGCTCGTGAGACAGGTGCTTTGTAGTGTAACTTCTGCAGCAGCGACCTCTCTTCAGAGGTCGTGCTAAACATTACCAGGGTAGATGACGTTAAAACTACCAACATCTTTTTAAAACACAAATAATGAGTGATGATTGAAAACTGAATCCCAACCGATGAACATCGATGGATGAAATGGTATTCGCTCACGGGTAGGGGGATGGGAAATGCTTTCTCCTGAAATTGTGCAGTTCATGGCATTGGATTAGAATGTTGAGAACGTTGAGTGGTTCACAACAACTCGCACACAAGGGTGGATCACAACTGGACAGGAATGTGTACAGTGTGTGTGTGTCATAATCTAGCCTTGTGTGTATTACGTCGGTGTGGCATAACTTCGATACTGACGGCCAATCGCCATGGTGGGGCTTGATAACGTGTAGTTTATTTTACGTGTGGCTATCCCATGTGCTTTGCAGAAGTTCTGAGCAATTATTCAAGGGAAGGTTTGAGGTTCAACGCATGAATCTCTATGGATGATGTATGGTGTTATACGGCGCAAAAGCCATTTGATGGCCAAAGAGCGCCAGGTCATAAGAAGAGATGTGAACGGTTAGGTTAGGTTAATTTGGTTTTTATGGCGCAAAAGCAGCTAAGACTATGCTGCCCCAGACACAAGACTTTTAGGAATGGACACTGAAAAGATGAAATTTTAAAGCTTATTTGACAGATTACATTCTTTCCGAAAGTTTAGCACGTCAGGCAGAGGTACTATAGGGTCATCTCCTAGGAACAAAGCAGGGTGTGAAGGTACGTGTTGTTTTTATAGCTTGCTGAAATGATTTTGTCTCTGTGTTTCAATGGTGGGATATGTCATCAGGATGTGCATAAGTGTTAACGCTTTTTGGCACTTTTCACGCGTTGGTTGTTCTTTCTTTGCGAGTAAGAAGTCGTGTGTCAAGTGTGTGTGTCCAATGCGAAGTCGGCATAATACGACTTCGATAAACCGTTGGTGGTGACGGCAGGTCTTCCATTCCCAAAGTATGGCTTTCACCAGGTGGAGCTCATTGTTAATGCAGGTGTCCCATTGCTGTTGCCATTTTGCTAGTAGAGCCAGGCGAATTGTTCTCTGGATATCTTTAAGGGGAATTTGCACTTTTGTTAGTGTTTTGTGGGCTGCCAGAAAAGCATACTTATCTGTTTTTTCGTTTCCGGGTATCCCAACATGAATTGGGACCCAGCAGAAACGCATGGAGGCTGCCTGGCTGTTTGAGTATACCATTTTTAAAATGTCAACCACTATTGGCTCACATTAGGATTTTATATGTAGTGCTTTTAGTGTGCTTAGTGAGTCGGTGTATACGATTGCTTCCTCTTATTTTTCAGCGATGATTTTCCCAACTGCGTCACTCAAGGCATAAGCTTCAGCTGAAGAAACTACGAGGTACTTTCACAGAAATTGCACTTTTCGTCGTCACGATACCAATAACCACGTGGTTTTCTGTTTTTGAGCCATCTGTGTAAAATTCTTCGTAATCCTCCTATTTGTGCCGAAGTGTATAAAATTCTTGGATTATGTGTTTTGGTGGGGTGCTTTTTGTTTTGTTAAAACGGCTTAATGAAAATTTGCATAGCTGCGACAGGTCTAACCATGGTGGCAGTCTTGGTGGTTTAATAGCGACATCTAGGGATCCATCAGGGATGGTATAAAAGCAGCAGTATCCCTCGAAACGTAGGGCAAGTGGCTTGATTAGGTTCTGTTTGTGGAAGTAGTGTAAGACTGAGTGACACTTTGCGGCGATTTCATAGCAGATATGTTCAGGTGACGACCTTATTCTTAAAACATATGACAAGGTTAGTAATGCTCTTCGATCACATAGAGGGGACTCATTGCATTCTACGTATAGACATTGCACAGGTGATGTTCTGTAAGCACCATTGGACAGACGGAGACCTAGGTTGTGTATAGGGTCAAGACGGTGACTGTACGAGTTTCGCTCCGAGTCGTAGACTACGCATCCGTAGTCCAAAATGCTGCGTACAAGAGATCGGTAAATACGTATAAGGCAGAGTCGATCGGAACCCCAGTGTTTATGGGAGAGTACTTTGAGCACGTTGAGTGCTTCGTTTGCCTTCGTTTTTAGTGCGCTTATGTGTGCCAGAATTCCCCGCAGGGGCGCCTGCGCAAGTAGGCGTTTGGTGTGTAGCGACACCACGGAACCGAGCTAACGGGGGAATTTCTACTCCCTCCAACGCCTAGCCGTGCGTGGCTTTGCCGCGTCTGGGAAAAGGGGATCCTGGGGGTTGAGCCGACGCTGGGTGATTGAACCGTTAAGGCCCCCCGGATGAGGAAACACACCCCTTTGGCCTTGGCTTCACGTAGATGGCAACCCTGGGCTGACCCACCCAGGGGAAATCGGCAGTCGCCTTTCCCTATCTCTCTCTCCTTAAATCTTCGTCTTCCTTACTTTTTTAGCTTTCCTGTCTACTTCTCTCTTCTGCTTACTTCCTAATTTCTCGGCGGCAAGGGTTAACCCTGTGCAAATAGCCTACCTTGGCATAGGCGCATTGGGTTATAGCAGAGTTTTACGGCTGACGTCTGCAAGCTTTCAGCATCCGCAAACTTGCAGCGTCCCCTCGTTGGGCTCCGTGGCCTGTGGCCGCCAACGCTGCTGAACAACATACAATTAGCATGCACAAAGCATTCCCTTTACTTAGTGATCGTGCCTCCTCGAAGCGGGTTCGCACCGAAAATATCAATACTTTCAACCGGCCAAGACATATCTTTGCTCATTTCCACGTTATACGCTGCGAAAAAACTAACAAGCAAGAACTGCATCCCCCTTCGTAGTGGCTAGGTGCTTAACCGAAACTCTCGGTACCGGGTACCAAAATGGCCAGCGGAGATCTACTCCTTGAAAAACGTGACAAAGACCAATTCGGTAAACTGAACACCCTCACAACGTTTGGAGACACACCCATCAGTATTACGCCACACAGGTCCTTGAACTCATCTCGTGGGGTCGTATCGGACGCAGATTTGCTTGACCTGACCAAAGCTGAACTTCTGGAAAGATGGAAGAGCCAGAACGTGACAAACGTACAGCGTATTAGGATAAGAAGAGATCAAAAGGAAATACCAACCAAACACCTAGTACTGACCTTTGCTTCGAGCGATTTGCCGGAAACAATTCAGACTGGGTATACAAAGACATCCGTGAGGCCATATATTCCCAACCCCCGCCGTTGCTTCCAATGTCAGAGATATGGCCATGGCTCGCAAAGCTGTCGTGGCCGGAAAACTTGTGCTCTGTGTGGAGTCGTGGGCCATGCATCCGAAAACTGCGAAGCACCTGCACACTGTGTGAACTGTGGCGGTAATTATGCCGCGTACTCACGTTCTTGTTCTTTCTGGAAAAAATAAAAAGAGATCATCACTTTAAAGATAAAAGAAAACATTACATTTAAAGAA